TGTTTGATGGACTCAAATTAAATGTCATCTTCTGTAGATCATGGAGATCTGTTTCCCCCTAGTGGTCAGAATAAATACAACTTCATTTTAACTCAGGTTTCTGTACTTTTTATCACATGCTTTGTACAGTAGACAGCGGGAAACCATTATGTAAATGTCTATGTCATAATTTTAAAGAAAAATTTAATTATTTGATAAAAATGGCTTTCCTATTTGTTATTGTTGTTGTTATAGAAATTGTGTGTGTGTGTTCCCTTTTTTTCTTTTTTTACAAAGGCTTTACCTTTGTCACTTGCAGGTTTTGGCTGCTATGACCTCTGCGGTCAACAGGGGGTGAGAGAATCCTTCAAATCACCAGCCATGCTTCACCAAGAGCGAATTCTTCATATCATACAGCCATGTAAGAACAAAGCTTTTATCTCAGTGTTCTAATACTAATCTATTATTAACTAATAATGAACTAGATCAGGTAATGAAGTAGTAATGATGTAGTTCTGAAATATTATTAGATTGGATGCATGCACTTAATATTTTTTAATATATGTTTTGCATCTATTGGATTAGCATTTTGCCAGAGGATGCATAAATAAATGAAACCCAAGGGTGTTCATGCTCAAGATGGAGTTCATTCTGCATCCACCAGTGCTCGACTAATGAGTGCCGACTTCTGAACCACTAGAAAAAGAGATGGTCAAAGGCTTTCCTGTCAACACAGGCAAAGAGGGAATGTCTTGAAAGAGTTATATTCATCCCAACTTCAGGTATGTTGAATATGAACTGTGAAGACAAGCGGAATGATAACATTACTCCGCTCAACAGAAACCACACCATAATAACATAAAGGACATCTTATATAATTAATTAAACGTACAATCAATAAAATTAAGTTATAATTAAACCTGCAGAGAAAACACATATATGTTTGAAGCTAAATGCAATTAAGCAACTATGACCCAAAACTACTGATAAATTACATTAAATGATAAATTACGTCACACTTTATATATTATATATTTATAACAGTTTAAGGTTAAATTGACAAGAGTCCATTTCAAGTTTTCTTTGGCCACAAGATGGAGCCAAAACTCACGACTGAGGTTTGTCTATTAAATTATACAATATGTAATATGTTTATGTATGTATATATTTAAAGCTCTATGCATCATGTGTAGCATCATTAGCAATTTAGCAGCAATATTTTTAGGAGATGGATAAGGCTGTATGTTATCAATAGAAATTGAGCTATCATTAATCATTTTAGATAAGCTGAGCAAACTCATAGTCCAGGTTGTGAGTTTTTTATGCATAGGTTTGATCAGATGACTTAGTGATTAAGTTTAATGATTGCAAAGTAGAATAGTGGCATGAGTTCAGATTCTCTACTTAAAAGTTGGTGTAATTTAGGAATATCAAAGATGTATCTTTATACCATCCAAAGGTTGTTCTCTATGTGTACCTAATTAAGGTATATACATCTATGAAGCATATTATAATGAATTGAGCAGCAATAATTGGCTTCTCAGATTAGGGATAGATAGGATTAGGATTTGTTTCAGGATCAAGATCAGGTTAAGCATAGGATTAAGATTGTTATTAGGATTTAGGTGATACAAGTTAGGTGATACGAGAGACTTTCAATTTCAGAGCGTTTCAGTAACTATAAGTTTTAATAGTTACTGTAATTTTTAAAAAATCATTCTAGTTCTGCTTTTTAAAACAATATGTATTATGATTGCCTGTTAACGTCGTTAATCAATTGGAAAATATTGTTTTGAAAATGTTTCCAAGTTATTCCTCCGTGTCGTTATCGTTGTAGTTGTCATGTGGACTCGATTTTTTTTACTATTTTTATAGTTGTTGTTATATTATTGTCCTTGGGGTGAACGGGCCTTAAAGATATGGACACAAAAGAACGGTAGGTAACATTGGAAACATGATATTTTTTTCCAGCTGATGAAAATGAAAAACATTTACACTTTACAGCCAAAATCCACCAGACTTTAAAGAGCTCGAGCATTAGCAGACGACAAAACTGCAGCATGCGCTTATAATAAACAGAACATTATCGTCCGTTGATGTGAAGGCAAGGCATTAGGCAAGGCAAGTTCATTTATATAGGCCTAGCACATTTCATACACAATGGTAATTCAAAGTGCTTTGCAGAAGTAAAAAAAGTTTTTAAAAAATCACAATAATAAAAGCAAGGAATTCAATTCTAAAATGATTTTTTTAAATTGATTTAAAATTAAATTAAAACAGTTAAGAATAGAAAATGATGATAGGCCTACATAAAATACAGTGCAATCAGTTCGGACGTAGCACAGTTCTCATTCAGTAAAAGCTAAACAGATGTGTTTTGAGTCTAGATTTAAATGTAGCTACTGATTTAGCACATCTGATCTCTTCTGGAAGCTGGTTCCAACCGCAGGTGGCATAATAGCTAAAAGCGGACTCCCCTTGTTTTGAGGGAACCCTATTTCTAACTGACTTGATCCTAATGATCGGAGTGGTCTGTTGGGCTTATATTCAGTGAGCATATCTGCAATGTATTGAGGTCCTAGGCCATTGAGTGATTTATAAACGAGTAATAATACTTTAAAATCAATCCTAAATGTAACTGGAAGCCAGTGTAAGGACCTGAGGACTGGTGTAATATGCTCAGATTTTCTGGTTCTAGTCAGAATCCTGGCAGCAGCGTTCTGGATGAGCTGCAGCTGTCTAATGGTCTTTTTGGGAAGGCCGGTGAGGAGACCATTACACCCTGCTGGTGATAAAGGCATGAACAAGTTTCCCTAAGTCTTGACTGGAAACAAAACATTAATCTAATTCTTGCAATGTTTTTGAGATGATAGTATGCTGATTTAGTTATCGCTTTGACATGACTACTGAAACGCCTGAATACTGAATACGCCTGATCTCATGTATGGTTAAGCCTGACCTTGAGAGTCTGGTGTTACGCTTTTGAAAAAGCGACCCATTCTGCATCTTCTTTTTAGCGTTTAGTATCCGTTGACACTGTGAAGCGTCGGCTGATTGAACATCTTTGCTGCTGCTATCAGCGGGAGCACACGGGGTCAGAGTTAGCATCAGCCTGTGACATCCATCAGATGAGCACGCCAAGGCTGCGCTGACACATTTCCACAATCAATAGCATCTGACAGACAACACGAGGTTATGGCCATCCCTGTCAACGCTATCTATTCTTTTTCAAGTCTGACAGATGTGGGGTAATTAATGGACTTCATTAATCAATCAAAGCTGTTGCTAAACTATAGATTAAATGCATCGTTATTAACTGTGTGGGAAAGAAATAAAGCTTTAAAAGGGATAGTTCACCCAAAACTGAAATGCACAAGCTGCTCTTTTCCATACAGTAAAGGTGAATGGTTACACAAAGCAATAGTTCAGTGCATTTATTTCATTTTGTTACTAAAGATAGCATTTGGCTTCCAGACTTGAAGGCTTTTTTTATTATCATGGCTTTTTTTTTATTTTGGTGTTTGACAGTCCTTGGTCACCATTCACTTTAATTGTGTTGGGAAAAACAGCTCAATACATTCTTCTAAACTTCTTTTGCATGCCACAGAAGAAACTAAGTCAGGCTTGGAATGACATGAGGGTGTGTAAATGTTGATATTTCTTTTGACTGACTTAAGACAAAAAGATAAATGACAGACTTCAGATAAAAATCTTGCAGTTTTGTTTGCATATAAACTTGGCTAAATGTCACAATGGATAAAAAAGTCACAAAACATAGAAAGAAAGCATCTACAATAGCAGAAATTACATTAAAAAAAATTGTGCTCACAAGATTGCAGATCAACTGTGAAATATACAATACACATTATTACAACAACTAAAAATAGAGATGAGGAGAAATGAAAGGGCTTAGTGGTGTAATGTTTTTTCCAGTTTTGAAACCAATGGAATACAAAGGCATTGCAAATCTAGGATAAACAATTGTGTTTGAATCTTTTAGAGAGGAATCAAATTTATCTCTGACGCAGAACCAATCATATTGAAAGTTCTCGTCCACTTTTAATATGTGCTAAATACAAAGCCAGACCCCAGGTATCTTTATGATCTGGAGAATTTGCACATTCAGCCGCTTCTAAACTGTAAGTATAGGACAAAAGCAGCACAGCGATAATGCGAAATTCAATTCACAACACACAATCTCTTCCATCTTTTGACAAACTGCCACTCTATTTTATGTTGAGAGGAAAAATGTGTGTGTCTTATGGTGTTTAATGGCCTGGTAGATAAAGATGTGTCTTCTTGATGAGAAAAGTGCAAAGTCTGATTGGAGCAATAAATATCAGACCCACTGGTCCCTTCGACAGGGGTGAGGTACGCACTTACTCATTAAAATCCAAAATTCAATACACCACATATGAGTTCATGATTTTAAATAACTTTATATTAAATTTACAAAGCACAATTAATATTAAATCAGACGTGATCGAGTATTGCTGATGCTTTTAGGAGTACCTTTATAATGCACTTATTAAGATCCTGACCAATAAAAAAGGAAAATCAAAAGGCAACTGATGCAAACAAGTTACAAATATTAATTCACAAGTTCATCTTCACCTACAATAGTCCTTCAAATGGTGTCGGCTTCAATCTGACTTTATAAATATTTCATTTCCATGCATTTTTAAATACAAGAGGTACAAAAAGACTATTACTTTTAAGTAAGGAAGAGTTATGTAGAAAAAAGGGGGCGGTGCTTTAATGAGTCTCAAGAGTTTCCTGGGTTGGGGAGATCAAATATGAATGGTGGATTGGTAGGCTGGAAGCTGACTGTACATGTGGAGGAGTTGATAAATGTTGTATAGCCATCTGTCATTATGCCATACCCTGAGAATGAGAAAGAAAACATTTTTATACATTTATTTTATATACAATAAAATGCTTAAAGGGGTCATATGATGTTGCTAAAAATAACATTATTTTGTGTATTTGGTGTAATGAAATGTGTTTATGCGGTTTAAGGTTCATGTGTTGAGTAGTTCCACGCAGCCAACTCTCTGAAGTTCTTTGGGGACCCAATCTCTGAACCCTGGACAAAGTCCCAACATCACATCCTTAGTGGTGTATCATCACATTTATGATTACTTTAAAATACAACAGTCCATCTGCAGACACAAACTGATGTATACATACATTCACATTTCAATGCTTACCCAGAGGAGGCCCATGTGTCATAAGAATATCTACATCTTCAGGGATCTGGTTCCACTTATCGAGGAGAGACTGGCCACGAGGTAAGTTAAAGCCCCATCCATTAAACCACGGGGTCCTGTGGGAGCAGACAGACACATTTTACACACTTCATAAATGTCGAAATCATCATAAACATGCCTGCATGCTGTTCTCACACACATACGCAAAACTTGACAGTATTATCAAAAACGATTTTCAAAGTAGACTAGTTAGTAAGGTGCATGAAAAAAAAGTCTAAAAATGCCTCAGAGTATTGCAGTATCAGATTTGAGGCCATGGCACAACTCAAGCTATTCATTTTAGCCTCCATCAGGGCATCCGGCGGTTCGCAGAGGTCATCTGCAGAGGAGGCAGATTGATCAAGCTGTCAGCACCAATGAGCAGAAGCATGTTAATAAGAGTTTTATTTCCCCTCTGGGACGGGCCTGCTGACAGCCTGCGGTAACCCGGGCCAGACCTTTATTTACCACTTTCAGACCCCGTCTGATAAGGGCCAAGTATCTGGCCCCAGCTAGACAAGGCTGCGCAAGGCCAGGGCTAAATGTAGGCCTTGGTAAAGAAGGCAGGAACTGACCCCATGCTGATAAGCAGAGCTGGGTGATGGATGGAGACAGTGCAGACAAATGAGAGCTGGAAGCACTGCGGAGAGCAACGTCTGCAACTGCTCAACGGCACTTCAGAAGCTGCACTACAGTGCAGGATTTCAACACAGATTGAAACAAACGCTAAAATGTATGTCAATGTGCTTATGGTTGTGACATCACAACTATTTCTGAATGGCCCATTTTTCAGCATAGCTTCAATAAATAGTTTGGATGCAAGGAAAACCCTGGGGTTGGATGCATAAAACATTCTTAAAAATAAAATTCTGCTACTTTCGTCTTATTTTCTAACTTAGGATTGTTCTTTTAAAAAAGTAGATCTCATTCACTAATTGCATTGATTTTTTTTTTCCATTTGTACACAGGAGAATGTCTCATTCACCTAATTAACAACACGTGTATGTATGTGGGTATGAGGTCAGCGCTGCGCATGCGCCGGTGAGTCTCATGAAAACCAACGTTTGTTTACAGGATCAAAGGAAGCAAAGTTTCCTTACTTTAGCAAAGGAAAACCAGTCTCCTCTTGGCTTATA